TTAAAAACATCAGTAGAAGTACTCATATTTATAGCACCACAATTCATAGTAGCTAAATCTTGGAAGCAGCCTATGTGTCCATCTACAGATGAATGGATAAAGGAAATATGGTATTTACATACAATGAAGTAATACTCTGCCATAAAGAAAGTTAAATTTGAATCATTTGTAGGAAAATGAATGCACCTTGAAGCCATACTGTTAAGTGAAATAAATTAGATACATGAGCTTAAGTATTGCATGGTTTCTCTTATATGAGAAGCCCAAAATATAAATAAAGAACAAAATAAGGGTTACATGCTAAGAAGGATGGAGATAGATCTTTCTCAAATGGGAAGGAGATCAAGAGATGGAAGGATTGGGAAGGAGGGGAAAGAGAAATGGATAAAAAAGAACTAAGATGTGTTATATACATGTATTAACTCTCCACAAGGAATGTAATCATTATGTACTGTACATGTGTACTAATAAAAATAAAAAGGAAATAATATTAGCATTAATAAGAGAGTCCAGTAAGGAGGCCAGGCAACATAAATGCTTTATATGCTATAGTTTTCATGAGTTTCAGCAATAGCTATGTGGAAGAGTTTAATACAAAAGATCTCTTCTTAATTGTCTAACATAAAATACCTACATGTAAACTGAATAAGAAATAGAATGAATACTCATAAAATTATAAAACATTTCCAAAAGTCATTGAAGGTGATTTGAATCAATGGAAAAGCATACCATGTTCATGAATCAGAGGTCTGTTGTGAAGAATGTGATATAGTGCTATATGTAGGTCTAAAGGAAGAGCACTGTAATTAAGTTAATTGTATTCAAGGGCCAGTTTTGCTACTTACTGGGTATGTAATTGTTATGTCTTATATCTAGATGTCCCCTAAAGCCTCATGCACTCATAGGTGGGGCTTTTGGGAGTGACTAGATCATGGCTGTGATACTCAATTACTCCACTGACTGGTTTAGTATAGTTCTGGATGTGATGGAACGAATTTACTGAAGATGAAAAACCCATCCTGTGTGTAAGTGGCACCAACCAATAGGCTTGTAGCCTGAATGGAATAAAAAGGGAAAGAAAGCAGAAAGGCTTCTTGTTTTCTGCCTGCCCTGCCACGGACTGTTTCTCCTCTACCAAGCCCCTCTGCCATGCTTCCCTGCCTTAGAGCCAGCTGAGTATGGACTGAAACCTCTACAAACTGTAAACTAAAATAAACTTTCCTCCTTTAACTTGTTGGTGTTGGGTATTTTGTCTCCACAACAAGAAAGTAACTAAGACAATAATCTTGGTAGAATTACTTAATAACTCTGGGGCTCAATTTTCCCATCTATAAAATGGAGACAATAATAATAACATCTACCTCACACACTTATTATTATTTAATATGTATAAATATTGCTTAGAGCAGTACTTGCCACATAGAAATGGCTAAATAGGCACTATTGTCATTTTAATATAATTTATCTAAATTGAGGTTTCAATTTCTGGAAATACCAAGGAGATATTTTACAAACATTGTCTGATTACTAACAAGTTGGCAAGAATAGTCAAGAAAAGTTTGAAAAACATGAGTTTCAGGGGAATTTTGATGTAAAAATATTTATGTATTTATTAAGGCTTTTCTAATAAAATTTATAGTTTTTACATAAAAACTGAAAGAAATCAACACAAGATAAAAAAGCTTAAGAACAGGTCCAAATGGATAGTAGAATGTGTCTTATTATTCAGCATTTTACAGTAATTGACAGAGTTATTCAATATATATACTGGGGCAATTTATCAATTACCAAAAAATTAAATTCTCATTTTATATCAGTGCTTATTAGAACCATGTTCACAGGGATCAGAATTCTTTGGGGGTGGTTCTTAAATTGTGGATTCTCAAGCTCTACTTCAGAGATTGTGTGTAAGGAGGGGTGTAGTGAATCTAATTCCCACTATACTGTGGGAACTGCAACCCTCTACCATATATTCAAATACTTTCCAGATGATCAGAAGGGGAAAGGGGATAAATGTCAAGATTACTATCTTCAAGCTAGAGGACAATATTTACATTCTCTTCCATATTTCTTAAAGTTCAAAAAGAAAAATTTGAATGTACAATAAAAAAGGTCAAAGAATGTTAATAACCAAATCATAAAAGAAGTAACTTAAAGCCAATAAACATATAGGAAAATGCCAAATTTCACTAACATTCAGAAATGCACATTAAAGAAATATACCTTTTTCATATTTCATAAGGGAAAGTACGTGAAATATTACAGGATCCAGCAATGTGAGGGTACAATGAACGGCCACTTTGATATTCAGGTGATGAGTGGGCACAGTGAGCCAGTTTGCTGAAGTGCTCTATTTTCTCTCAAGAGCCAAAAAATATCCATAGTGAGGGGCCAAGCCATTGAAATTCTAGGAATTTATCTTGAGGAAGAGTCAGAGATTCACATGTAGACTTATGTATGCAGGAATTTCTTGTAGCATTGTTTTAATAGAAACAATTGGAAACAGCTGAAATGTCCAACAATATGGTAACAGTTAACTAAATCATGGCTCATTCATATGATGAATACTCTGTGGTCATTAGAAATCATGTTTTTTTTTTAAAGAATCTTGTCATTAAGTGACATGAGAAAATGCTCACCATGTACTAAGTGGAAACAGCAGAATATAAGCTATATGTAGCATGACTTCTTTTTATTAAAAATAATCAAAAACATAGAAAAAAAATTGCAAGAAGGGAGGAAAATATACCGACATGCGGATAGAGCTTTATTCTGGGTGGTTAGATTTCAGCAATTTTCATGTTTTTCTTTATTCTTTTTAGGTTTTCCAATTTTATGCAATGTACAGGTATTATTATAGTTGTAAAGAGAAAAAGGTTAGCGAAAAGATAATAAAAAGGATGAGATTGGGAAAGAGATTTTGACATAACTTTCACTAACAAATGGTAATAATGAAAAAGACTGTAGTCCTGGATTTAATAAGATCAATGAAACAAAAGTAGATACATCAGAATCAGAATAGAGAGGCAGGGGGTGTTAGGGTGGATGCACAGGCTGCGGACCATGTACATGGGGCTTCGCAGGGCAGAGAGCTTCTCAGAGGGGCCAGAACCTTTTCTGAGTCCATCACTGTGGACTCCCTAGACCCAGCACAAAGGAGAGCTGCATCACAAGGCATCTGCTGTACCATTTAACTATCAACATGCTGCCCAGCCAGGGTACATGGTGCATGAGCAACCCTTCTTGGTTCTGTTGCTTTGAAAGAAAAAAATCTTTAGTATCAAGTTTGCTCTTGGGAAGCTCTGAGGTTGCTGATATAATTCCCCAGCTGAGCATTCTTTTCTTAGTCCCATCTAGTCCTCAGCCTTGTGCCAAGGTGCTTGGCAACCCAGCTGACTCGCTGGTGGGGAATTCTGAAGCCAGAATGCTTCTCCAATGACGTGGTTCTTAAGGCCTGGCAGATATGCCACCTTTCTTGGTCACCCCCAGAAAACAATGTCTCCTGGAGGACACAGGCTCAGTTGGGGAAGATTGGTGTTATGGTTTGTGTCTCAGTGTCCCTCTAGACCCTCATGCAGTCATAAGAATTTTTCAGAAGTGGGTAAGTGTGGAGTGTATAATGCTGGGATTAAGGATGCTGGGATTAAGGGTGGGTAATTGCTAGATCAGTCCACAGATTGGATTAGCACTGCTGTAATCCCAGCAGTCTGGATAAGACAAAAGGGACAGAAAGAGGCTTGTCTCCCTTTTTGCTCTTGTTGCTTTTGCTGTCTTTTGCTGCCATGAACTCTTGCCCCCGTGCCATGTGTCACCTTGCCTTGGAGCCAGTGGATTATGGACTAAACCTCTACAAACTGTGAGCTAAACAATCCTTTCCACCTTTAACTTTGGGCATTAGGTATTTTGCCTAAGCCACGAGGGAAAATAACTAAAATAGTTGGTCTTAGGTTTGAAAAAGCAGCAGAAGGCTCAAAGTCCTTGGAACCATATAGACTGGATGTGGACTCTTTCTCCTGCTGTTTTACCATGAAGGAGCCTTGTGACCTTTGACTTGTCCCTTCCCTTCAGCATCCTGAGTCTCACCCCAGGTCCTCTTTCTATAAACAAGTTTCCCTGGGTAATGAACACCTGGAAGGGCCATGTGAGGTTTAAGTGAATGGATGGCAAGTGTTTATCCCAGTTGGACACAGAGGAGGCACCTGAAGATTGTAGTTACAGTCGTCATGGGCCTCCTGCTCTCCCCAGCCTCACAGAAGGTCAGCTGTCACTCAGCAGAGGGCCCAATGCAAAGTCTTCTGGGAACACAGGTTGTTAGGACAGTGGCTGCTGCTGTGTTGTTGCCGGGGTGTGTGGCAGGGCTTTCCAGCCCACCTTCCTTAGGGCCTTCAGCTCCAGGAAATGTGTGTGTGTGTGTGTGTGTGTGTGTGTGTGTGTGTGTGTGTGTGAAAGGGCTCCCTGTGCTGATTCTTGGATCTGTAGCAGCGCCCTGGGAATGGGGAGTGAGTGGGTGGGAGCCTGGGATGGGTGTGGCTATTCCCTGAAATGAGCACAAAGCCTGGCTTTGACTTTCTGCCCTTTCTGCCCTTGGCCTGCCAGTATTTGCAAATTCTGCTCACAGTCACTTCCTTGGCTGGGCCCTGGGGAGCTACCCAGTCCATGAGTCATCCCAAGAGCCAAGGAGCCAGGCTCTGTGACCACTGCCTGATCCCTGATTGAAGAGAGCAGAGTGTTGACATTTTATTTCCCAATGTCAAGAAGCCGGCAGAACAAACCAAGGACATCCCCAAGTGGGATAAGCATGACCTGAGTGGAGGCAAGAAGATTTCAAATTAAATAAACTTTTTGAAATGTTCATAGTTCTTTTTGGTTAAGTGGCTATTTTGAAACAAAATGCATTGAATGACTAAAGCTAAGTTTAAATAGAAGAGTTATACTAATGTTAATTTGAAAAAATATAAAATGAGTCATAGCACAGGTGGTGCATAGACGATTCTGCTATTGTGATAATGTATGGGGATGACTATTTGGGAAACACTGCTCCAGTGGAGGTGGAATTCTATGTCAGGCTCTTGTAAGGTAAGCACACCTTTCTGATTTGCCCAATTTTGTGGGGTTTCTTAAATGAGTAGTAGGGGATCGTTTAAACTGATGCAAACCTAGAAGAGGCTTTCTTAAATTTTTTCCAACTTGGTGCTTGTTTGAGTGTGCAAATATATGGAAACTACAGTATATATTTTTGGCTGGTGCAGCTGGCGTGGCTCCTCCCTCTTGTGTCAGATGAGAGAGAGGATTTCTGTGCTTCTACACCTTTGGCCAGCAGGTCAGATGTGGGAACAGAACTACTCATTCGAATCAGGTGATGAAAGGCTGCTAATACGATGATGTGGACTTATGACGCTTCCTCTATGTAAAGGGGTTGTAGAAGGTAAGTGTGCCTGGCGCTGGCTTGGTGACACATCCTGATCCCTGATTCTGTGAGGCTTTCCCTCCACTGGGGAAGATGAGCCATGTGCTCAAAAGTCCCTACTGTCTTTTATTCAAATCAAGGGCTGTGGCAGCTGTGATAGTCACAGGGATGAGAGATTGCCCCAATGTGGGCCAGGGCAGGGGACCTATAAGTAGGGATGAGAGCAGCAAAGGCCTCACAGAGTGGTGGTTGATCTGGTCCTTGAAGGCAAGGGTTTTCCAGGTTGAGAAGAGCCTTACAGAAGGACAGAAGACATGGACAGGGGCATTGAGATTTACAGCATGGGAGCCCAAGGTGTGTCCTAAAACTGAGGGACCTTGAGAGCCAGATGAGGTGTGTGGTGGGGATAGCAGAAAATAAGCCTGGTGCGACTACTGGGACTGGACCACAGTTCCCCACTGACTAGGGCTCTGACTGGTCCACATCCTTCTCGTGCACTATCGCTGCTCTCCCGTGGCTTCTTGGGACCCTGGAGGCAGAATAGGACATTCTCTGAGGGTAGGGCATGGAGTGACAGAGCTCTACCATGGCCCTGCAATCTCAACTGGGAAGTTTGCTCTAGAGCTTATGGCTCAGTTGATGTCACCCAATCCCAGGATGCCCTAGCCTGGCTTGATGGGGTGTGGTGGCTCAGGTTATTTAAAAGACTCTTTTCTGTGCCCCTATGTAGAACAAGGGGAAGAAAGTTACTGAGGGGAGACAGGAATGTGGAAGAAAAACCTCCCCAGACTCTTCCTCTTGCTAGTGCTGGCTGTGACAACTACTAGAAAGAGGACCCCTGAATTCACATGGGGTCACCTCCTGGTGAGCCACAACTGCTGGCCTTGAGTTCCTGACTGCCCCATCTCCTGTGAGTTTGGGGATCACTTAGCCTGTCCATGACCAGTGAGACCATAAAGCCAAGGCTGAGCTTTGATGCAGAAAACCTTCAAACAGTGAGGAGGAGGTACAGGCCAGGCCAGCTCAGCGTAGCAGGGTGAATATTCTAAGGGTCAGGGGCTGAGCCACTCATCCATCCCTCTTCATTTCTTTGATGAAAGTCTGGGCCAGGTGGGTGGCAATGAATTTATTTAACATGAAAAATTCCTGAGGCAAATGCTCAAGTATAAACAAAGCTTTTAAACACCCAGCTGTTTCTCTGTGGAGTGGGATTTCTTCCATAGCATCCTATAAACATTCACAGCATGTGAACTCTGCTTAAATGTCAGAGTTAGTTGTTCCCAGCCTTGCTGGTCACTGGCTTCCAGATTTTGATGTGTCTTTCTGGTGAACAGTGGCTTTTTAATGCTAGAACACTGGGCCCTAAAGCTGAAGCTCTGGCTTATTAAAGGGAAAGAAAGGATCAGTTTAAGGAGAACTTTGGGAAAATGTCCAGAGAGTTCTAGTACATGTGTATGCAGGTATATGTATATGTGCTTGTGTTTCTGCAGAGAAGGCTTCCTGATTCTACCCTTTTGTGGAACAGGCCATTCCACCACCTTCATCGGAATGAATGAGAGGGTAGTGGAACATCTGTGCATTAAGTCTAAGCATGCTAACAAGCCCTGAGTGACCAGGTCAACCCCATGACCCTGGGAGTTGACTCTATGGTCTCTTGGAATATGTGTATGTGGAGGGCTAGAGTAGCTGATGGCTCTTCTGAGATCTCCTGGGCCAGCTGCTAAGCTTGAGAGAATGCCTTTTGCTGCACTGCCTGCAATCCATACCAGACCTGCCCTGCCAGAGTTCTGATCATCCCAGGTCAAACTACCTTGCCTGGCCTGGCTTCTTGTTCTTGGAACAGGCTCACAACCCCCACTTATGGCCTGTCTTGGCAAAGGGTGTGGGACACACAGGGAGAAAGGAAGCTGCCTGGGAATCAAGGACACCCCAGGACATGGCAGAGAGCAGAGATACATTTGTGAGAGAAATGAAGGAGAGTCTTGGTCCATGGACAGCTGCTCTTTGCCCTCTCCTCCTCCTTCAGCCTCGTAGGGTGGCTTGTTGCTCATACGGCACTTCTCAGGTCCCCCTTTCTTCTGGCTGTTTGGCCAGTGAGAGGGCCTGGCAGGAGCCTAGAGGGTAGCAGGAAGCAAGATGGCATGGAGTTCTTCCTCTGTTCAGGGCAGTATCTGGGGCATCTCCACTGCGATCCCAGCTTCCACTGATAGTCTCTCTCTGTGGGCCTGGCTGCTGGCTGCTGGCTCCTGGGATGCCAACTCTCCCCTTTCATCCTTTAGTCTGGGGCCGGTAGCAGATTCCTGCCAGTGCAGAGCTCTAGGTTGCTCCATCTTTCCCTGTGTGACCTTTCTGCTCTTCCATGACCCCAGTAACTTATCCTTTCTGTTAAACCTTTCTATTAACATTCTTTACTTTTTGGGGGGGTTGGAGCATGCCTGATTCCCTCCTCCTCCTCATTACTCTTCCTTTGTTTTCCAATTCCCATTTTGCTGTAGAGTCGCTCTGTGTAGCAGTGAGCCGGCTGTGGTATGGGCAGGGCACGACAGCTCACCCAGTTGTATCAGCATCACATTGTGTGCAGATAGTAAGTTCTGGTGCGCGTGTTAGGGAGAGAGGGAATCAGGAGATATTCTCCTAGGGTTACTTCTGTCATGATGGGACCTGAAAGGTTATTCCTTTACCTATTTCTCTTCTTTAACATTCCTTGAGCATTTCTTCTCATGCAGACTCCATGCTGATATTGGATGTGGGGAGTGAGGGGTGGGGACTTAGGCCTGAGATGATGGCGACAGGCCCGGTCTGTTGTGAACCCGCTGTACTTAGAGAAGACTGGAGCATGCACATTGGGGAGGGAGTGTGTGGAGCATGAGAAGCCTCCTGGGTGTGGGAAATCAGGAAGGGCTTTCTAGAGAGGAGAGCATTTGGCTGACTTTTGAAGAATGGGTAGAATAAGGGGGGATGATATTCATGAAAGATATTTAAAAATTACTGGCAGAATTTGAGGCTTCCAGTCTCTTAGAATTAACCATCAATCTTCCAATTGCTGACTTGTGCCTAAGCAAAGCCTTTCCATGCAAGTACCATGATTTCTGAAGTTCATACTCCTAGCAGTCTGGGAATCATCCCTAAGGAGTCTTAAGTAAGTGCAGAACATTTTAAAAGTCCCTGTTAGGGTCTGGGTTGTCCACTATCGAATCCCACTTGGAATTTAGGCTGCTTCCCTGACCTCTGTGTGGGGAGAAGGACAAAGGTAATTTGGTAGAGGAGAGGAGAAAGGAAGAGAAGTCAAACTGATGTAGATCCCTGGCCAGCAGACCTGGACTAGCTCAAAGCAGCCTGAGGACCTGGGACCAAGAAAGGTGGAGTTGTGCAGACTTACATCTGTCAGTGGGCAACCGCCCCTTTCATCATCCTTCTTGGGGCAGGGAGGGTTGCAGGAGGAGATTCATCTCCCAGGAATAAAACTCTTCACTGTTCCAGGAATATGGAAGAAAGCAGGCTGGTGGGCATGGGGCAGACACCTGGGGAACCTCTTTCCCGCTTTTGTTCTAACCATCCTCTCTCTGTGTCTCTCTCTCCTATTTAGAATGATGTCAAAGGTGTCATTACCAAGGTGGAGGGCTGGATTTGAAATATCTCATGGATTTAATAATAGAGATTTGTGGGATTTCATCTTGTATGCTTTAGCCCCCTGAGGCCACCCCATGTCCAGATGAGCGTATGTGTGAAGACAAGAATATATGTCCACAACACTGGGGCCAGGAAGCTGCAGCTGGTGCTAGGTTAATTCCCAAAATTAGACTGTGGTCTCTTTTCATAAAGTCCTCAACCATTAGACATTAAACTAGGACTTTTGCGGGGTAAGGGGGGATTCATTAAATTTCCTGTTCTGCTTTGAGCTGTGTGGGTCATTTCACAGAAAACCAAGGCTGAAATGGACCTAAATGGGCATCCAGGGTCAGAATCCCTACCATTATGGCCTTTATAATGCAGTCCAGCTTAAAGAAAGAAACAGAAACCTCCTGGATTTCGATACACAGCCAAACACCTGGGTTGGAATCTGAATGAAGAAAATAGGCATGGAATGCCAAGAATTCAGCACCTGTGCGTGAGCTATTACCTCCGAGGCCAATTTGGGCCCCAAAGACAGGATTCAGTAGTGCCCTGCTACATTGAGGAATGGTGGTTGGGTTCCCAGGAACCAGGATCATTGTCAGCCTCATGTTGTGGGAAGATTTGGGATTTGATATCTGTCTTAGCTACTTTTGTCATTGCTGAGACAAAATACCCAACACCCAAAATTAAAAGAAGAAAGGTTTAATTGTCTCACAATCTGTAGAGGTTTCAGTTCATAGTTGGCTGGCTCCAAGGTAGGGCGGCATGGTACAGGAACATTACTGAGGAGAAACAGTTCATGGCAGGCAGAAGGTAGCAAAGCATTGAAGTAGGAAGCAGCAAGCAGTGACAAGCCACAAGCCTAGTCTTCTTTCTGTCCCTTACGTTTTATCTAGGCTACCTGCTCTTAGGAGGTAATGCTCATACCTAGGGTGAGGTCAAACCAAGCACTGGACTAATTTAATAATCACACACCCTTAACCCCAGCATCACACAATCCCAGTATCACACAATCTAGATCCAGCCACCTCTGAAAAATCCCACGTATGACTGC